GGGAGACAGGAAAGGCAAATGAAAAAGAGGAAAGAAGAAAAGGTAAAAAAGGAAAGGGGGAAAGCAGAAGAAAGAATGATGAGAGGGGAGGAAAAAGAAGCATGAAGGAAAAAAAGAAAAGAAAAAGAGATGAAGAAAGGAAGACAAAATGGGACTCAGGAAAATGAAAGTGAGAGGAAGAGGGAGAAAGACAGAAGACCATCCTGACACAATGATGCCAGAAATTCAACTGAACTTTAAAAATATATATCTATTTTTCCATTTTAACATCTTTCCTGGTAAACCCAAAGAAGGTCACATTGAATTTCCATGGAAATGACCCGCCCTGAGTTGGAGCGACATGAGTCAGGAGGTGTGATGGCAGCGATGCTGCATGTCTGCTGGGCTGAGCCAGGGGTGGGGGTGGGAGATGGCCCAGAGGAGCGTGCAGGTTTGCTTTGTATTCTCACGTTGCCAAAGGGAGGGCACAGAAGCCAATCTTTAGCTAGTGAATTGGAACTTTAATGTTTACCAAGCAGATCCAGCTCCCACTCTCCGCACCCCCTCCCCCTGCCAACTCCCTCTCCTCCCTTCTCCTCTGCCAGCTCCCTCTTGGCTCTGTGTCCAGGCCTCCTGCTAACTGGACCCAGCTCCTCCCCAGCAGTCCTGGTGAGGAGCCCTTTGCTGCCAGAGGAGTAGAGTGCCGGCCACGGCTGGCCACGTCCCCTTGCTTTTCTCTCATCAGAGTTTTTCCCGTGAGGCCCTACACTCCTAACTTTGGAAACAGATGAGCTCTTTCTGGAAGAAATTCCCTGCAAAGTCCCAGAGGCTGGGGGAGCTGGGACTAAGCAGCAGGGACCTATTTTAAGGAACAGAATTCTTCCAAAAGGCTTCCTGTGCATGCTCAGCCTCAGGGAGCTCTCAACGGACATCTGCCCAGCTCATAGCTTCTGACCTGTCATGTGTGCCTTGTGTCTAGGCTGGTTCTCAGAACAGTGCTCCCCCCTGACATACCAATCTCCCAACTCTCTAGGTCTACCTTGCCAACATCCGGAACAAAACCTTTGGGGAACTCCTACACTTGATAGTCATCTGTGTCCTCTCTAAAGCAACTGTGGCCCTAGGAAAGAGAATGGCTATCCTGTGCTTTCATAGTGGATCTAGGATTGAGTCTGGCTTAGCAACCTATTAATTGTGTGACCTTGGGCATATTTTTGAACATCTCTAAACCTAGGCATCCTCATGTACGGGGGATAATAATGATAAAATGAGATAATGGAGATAACATGCTTGCATCATGACTGTCATATAGTAAGTGCTTAATAAATATATATTATTATTATTACTGAACAATTGTCCACACTACCTATGTTATAGTAATGTGCTACCTGGTATCACTGATGACATTTCTCTCTCTCTCTCTCTCTCTCTCTCTCTCTCTCTCTCTCTCTCTCTCTCTGTGTGTGTGTGTGTGTGTGTGTGTGTGCGCGCGCGCACACGTGCATGTGCACATATGTGTGTGGCTTCTGTCTGCAACTTGGATATTTCTAAGAGGGGTGGGGATACATTTTTCTAACCTCGTGTTTGCCAGGTCTCTAAGCACACGCTGAGAAAATACTTGATGGATTGAGAAACTGCCCCACGTTGACTGTGCCCTACAAATAGTGGAAAAACATTGGTAACAGAAGAGGGTGGGCTGGAAAGAGGCAGGGGGCCAGGAAAGTGAGATTGAGAGTGTGAAGGAGAGAGAAAGACGGAGAGTGGAATCAGCCTAGATGCTGACAGAAAACACTGAGCAAAGGGAGCCTGATGAGGGTCTGTGGTTCAGTAATTTCATTCTCCTGAAGTCACGGCAACTCAAAAAGTTAGGATCCATTTGTGACACTGGTCCCGGGATGGCTCCATCAGCCACCCTTTGGTTAGGCTGGTTCAGAATAATGACATCAGGTACACCAATCTCTGAATTGTAAGAGCAGACACGGTGGTCTGGTTTCTGAGCTCCCACTTATCCCAAGAGAAATGTCAGCTCCTCTCCGTCCCCAAATAAGAACACGTGTGAAGGGTGCCTCTAGTTCTGTCTTGTTATTGTTCTGGTTGTGGTTGTGTGTCTGTGCCTGACAACAATGGGGCTGTTTTCCCCGCTGCCAGCAGGATGCTAGCTCTGTAACGTGCTGGGAAAGAAACAGAATGGGCTGCCTGCACTATCTTCTCCCTTCTTGTCTTCTCAGGGAGAAAGTGGAGGGCTGGTTTTAATGGATTGACTTTAATGGATTTTGAAGTCTGGAAAAGTGCCTAAATTGCTGAGGTTACCAGTTTTCCAGGTTCTTTTTTCCCCCATTTCTTTCTCTTCAGTCAGACACAGAGTGAGCTCACTCAGGCACCGACTGCGGTCACCCCAGACCAGAAGAGGTCTCTTTCTCCCCAGCCCCAGCTGACAGGAGCACCCATTATTGCTTTGGGGGAGGGTATTTTGCTTGGTCCTGTCCCTGCATTCTCTGATCTCAGAGGAGAGAACCAACCAACAAGAATAACACCAGCTCTGCTTTCTGGAATCCAAATGGCTCCACCTTAAGGCATAATTTTTTTGGATCGTTTTATTTTCATTTGCCTCCGTGTAAGTTTGTACAGGGGCTCTGTGCCCTGGGAAGTTCTAGCTGCAATCCTGTCTTTCCTTCCGCCACTCCCCCTGTGGGCTGTGCCAGCCCTGAGAATTGTGACGAGGTTTTTGATGCCGAGAGTCTCCCTGTGAGGCCTTTGAAGAAAGGACAGCATTCCAGGCACCTCAGGGGGACTCTAGGCTCTGTGTTAGCTCTGTGGTTGGACTCCGTCCTCAGCTCTCCCACCTCCCCAACTGCATTCACATTTCTTTCTGTCCTTTCCTCAAAACTTGCCCAACCCGTCTTTGTGATTTTAGAAAAATGCCACTGGATCTCCCAGTATGAAGGATTAGCACAGATTATGGGGAACAGTGTTAATTATCGGTGGAAGGGGGGCCGGCGCGTCGCTCCAATGTGCTCCTGATTTCCCCTGGGCCTTTCTGCCTGGTAATAAGCCTTCTTTAATCTGGCAGGCCCCTTAGTGAAATCAGCACCACGGACAGTGGTATTGATTGCTTCTGAGAAACCATCACAGCTGCTCAACCAAATTACCTTTGATATGTGACCTTTAATGTAATTACTGCAACATCAAAGTATTTCTATAAATTATTAAAGAACTAATACACTCCATCATTTAGCTATTCTCTTATATGTAAAATAAACAACTACAAGTTAATGCTAGATCCAGCACAGTCCACATTTGCTACTGAAATTCCCCCAGTCCTGGGCCTCTCTCCCTCTTAAAAAATCCTAAACCTCCCCCTCCCACTTTCTCTTTCTGTTTCCCCCATCTACCTGGCTTTTAGCCATCACGAAACTCCCCAGCAATCTCTCTCCAGCCAACGAAGGGCCTCCCAAACAATGTGGTATTTTCTCTTCCATTCGGGCGACTCTAAAATATCTATCACCATCTCCCCCCAAACAAAGTACCATCCACAGTTTATGAATCAGCACAGACCTTTCTCAGAAGCCTTTGATTATCTGATGCGGTGGCTTTGTGACTCACACATAACATGGGGCGACGTGGCGCTTATTTCTGCCATCTTACAGAGGGCACCCAGAAAGTAATTACTATAATATATGTGCCTGTAGCCGCGCCACTAAGAACCAACTGGGGACTGGCCACCGTGCCCGAGCTGGGCTCCACATAAAAACCCGTGTGGCGCACGATTTCCATACATTTGCATCCGGGGGTACGTTATTAAGATGATTCAGCCCTGCGCTTTGCAATCACAAGTACAAAAATACAATCCAGAGGCTGTCTTAACGGAAGGCAGGCCCTCCCCATCCCCTAACCAGGTGAAGCAGGAGCTCTGATACAAAGGAAAGGCTGCCCCCACCGGGGGCTGCTTTTCTCTCCGTCTCCCTGGTTAACCTTTCCTGCTGCGGGGCAGGCATGGAAACGTGTGTTTACCTACCGCTGGCTGGGTAAGACTGTCAACATGCATATGTAAACATTGGTGAGCACACGTATAGAACACACGTGCTTCCCCGCAGTGCCCATTGCATAATACAGCGTAAACCCCCGGTACATTTATAAATTCCTCAGACGATGCCCACAAACGCTCCCGTCTTTCCATGTATCTTTGCATACTCCGTGTGAGCTGTATGTCTCAGCTCCCGGATCCCCCTCCCCCGCATCTCTCTGAACCCACAGGAGACACCATGCAGACCCCTGACCTGAGAGACGCTTATTTTATGGTGATGAACTGGCCTCGGTAACAGCCACGGCTGAGATCACACCCAGTTACGGGGGACATAAATAATCCCCCCTTCCCCTCCCCCCCCCCCCCACACACACACACACCCTGCACAGGAGGAATAAACCAGGGCTGAGGCGCGATAGTTTATCAAAGACCAGGGCTGGCTCCTTCAGTAAACACAGTGATCTCACTCCGGCGGCGCCAAGCCTGGATGGGGGGGCGCCCCCTTCCCTCTCGCCCCGAACCCCACCCTGGGCACAGCCCGCAGCATCCGACGTAGATGGGCTGGTGCTCCGGCTGGCTGCACCTTCACCCCGCGGGACCGGCTGGAGGCTACTCCGGGCGGGGGGAGGGTGGACCCCCGGCGGGCATGCCTGTCTCGGGCTGCCTGCAGGCGGGCAGGGGGTGGGGAGGGGGAAAGAGACCCGCTCAGCTGGGGAGGAGCCCCGCCCGGATCTGTGGCGGCGGCACAGGCGCCCCTCCCCGGGATGGTTCCGAGGAGGGGCCTGGACGGCGGGGTGCGGGGGGGCCCCCTGGCCCGATCCCCTCGCTGTTCTAGGGGCGGGGGGCGGGCGGGACGAGCTGGGGATGGAGCGGAGGCAGCCGGCGCGCCCGCCCGGACCGCGATCCCCCCGCCCGCCCGCCGGCCCCCGCCCCGCCCGCCTCCCGCAGTCGCCCCCTGTCGGCGCGCCCGGCGCTCGCGCCCGCGGACGCCACTTACCCCGGGCAGGGTCTTCTGCTCGTGCAGCGCGCTCTGGGCCTTCAGCGCTGACTCACGCTCGCAGTAGGTGAGGAAGGCGCAGCCTGGAGGGAAGCAACGGCGAGAGGGTCAGTGGGCGCCGGGCCGCCGCCGCCGCCCCCGCCGCCCGCCGCCCGCCGTCTCGGCCCCTCCCCGCGCCCGGCCCGCTCCCCACCTCGCCCGCCGTCTCTCCCGCGCGCTCCGCTCAAGCCTCCTGCCTCTCCGCGTGCCTGCCTGCCCGCCTGCCTGCCTGCCTCTCGTCCCTCGCGTGGTTACTGCTCCGTTTCCCTCCCTCGGCAAAGTCTCCCCCCCCCCCAATTGCCTCTTCCCCCTCCACGCCCCCTCTCCCTGATAGTCTCTTCCCATCCCCATTCCCTGGTACCTCGGGGGGCCTCTTCCCCCACCACGCCCCCTCTCCCTGATAATCCCTTCCCATCCCCATTCCCTGGCACCTCAGGGGCCTCTGCCCTCTCTCTCCCTTCAGCCCTCTCTGCCTCCCTCCCTTCTCGATAGTCCCTTCCCATCCCCATTCCCTGGTACCTCGGGGGCCTCTGCTCTCTCCCTTCAGCCCTCTCTGCCTCCCTCCCTTCCTCCGGTCCTCTGGGCGCTGTTCTGTCTGTTTCAGCTCCAGCCCCAGCACCTCCCAAGGGCAGCTCTCACCCCTCGCCCAGCTGCACCCCAGGCCACACTGGACCATGAAACCCTGCGGTGGGGCCTCCCTCAGGAGTGCTGCTGGCTGCTTTCTCCAGGATGATGGAGGGACCCCCTTGGCCTTCCAAACAAAGGCTCCATCAGCTGTCCTAATGAAGTGAATGGGGCTGCCCACGTGCCCCCTGCCCTAGGGCAGTGATATCTGCACACCTGCTCCAGGCGTGGGCATATGCAGTCCACCGAGGGGCAAGGCTGGGCCTGAGGCTGCCCCTTGCCCTGCCTCTAATTCCCCTGGTGACCCCTGAGAACCACAGCTCCAGGCCTGCCTTGGTCTCCTCAGTGTGAACAGAGGTTTGGCTCATCGGTTTCCGGTTTCTGAGGTTCAGCCTCGTTTTCCCTGGAGGCGTTCTGATGGTGCCTCAGCAGGAAATCTGGATTTTAAGAGCCCTGTTCCTGACTCAGGGGTGGCTTTTTAATGCTGGCCTTTCAGGCACAGTGACAAGGCAGAGAGAATGCTTTCTGAAAGTTCCCTCAGACTGCCCAGGGCCAGGGGCCTCTTCTTCTGCCCCCAGACCTGGCCCAGACCTGGCCCAGTGTGACCTGGGAGGCCTGCCAGGCTCAGAACCGCAGGGAAAGCAAAAAAGATAATTTTGGCCAGCAGCAGGCTTGACCTGGGGAACAGTGGCCTCAGACTTTCCAAGGCCCCAGAACAGGCACCTTGTAGGCTGGCCACTTCCCTTGTTTTACTTTTCTTTCTTTCTTTTTTAAATATATTTTATTGATTTTTTACAGAGAGGAAGAGAGAGGGATAGAGAGTTAGAAACATCGATGAGAGAAAAACATCAATCAGCTGCCTCCTGTACACCCCTCACTGGGGATGTGCCCGCAACCAAGGTACATGCCCTTGACCAGTATCGAACCCGGGACCTTTTAGTCCACAGGCCGGAGCTCTATCCACGGAGCCAAACCAGTTTCGGCTCACTTTTCTTTTCACTCTCTCATTCTCTTATCTCCCTCCCCCCACCCCCCTCCTGTCTTTTATTTTTTCTTTGCTCTCACAGTCGCCTCACTTGGTATGCCTCTTTCCTCATTTTGACCTCTCCCAATCCCATCCATCTTTCAAGAATCTGATCACTTCCTCCAGGCAGCCCTCCTTGACTGGTTTAGTCCATCTCAAGCCAGCCTCCTTCCTTAACTGTCCACAGCTGACCACTTGGTCATTCTTGTGGCCATTTATCAGCCGCTTCCTGAGTCCCATTGTGAGTCAGATTCTGTGCCAGGCAGGCCTGATGGCCCCCTCCTCTCATGAGGCCTGTAGGCTGGTGGTGTTGATCGGGTGCCAATGCCAGCCCTTGTCATCAGGCTTGCTCTGGCCTCTTACTTTCCCAGATGCAGAGTGTTCCCAATGCCCCTCCAATTCCTGAGCCCTCCACCCACCAGTGAAGCCCTTTTCCTCCTCTTACAATGTGGAAACTAGAACCGCTTCCCTTCACTTCCTGGCTTCCGAGAGAGAGGATTTTGGAAGGGAATCTATGTGTGAGGAGGACAGAGAAACGGAAGGAAGGGAGGAAGCAGGGAGAGAAAGCTGGAAGGCAGAACTCTCAGGGTCCCCGGGGGCTCTCTCTGCCCTTCCTCAGACTCCTGCCCCAGGCTGGGAGGAGCTCAGCGCCAAGGAGCCCCTCCCACTCCGCCTCATCCCTCCCCATCCAGACCCCAGGCCACCCTCTTCCTCACCTCCCTGCTTCTCCCTCCTGGCCATGGCAGACGGTCATTGATGGAGACACAGGGGGCTGAGATGAATAGCAGTCAGAGGCCCCCGTGACCTGGTCCCTCGTGCTGCCACCTGCCTCTCTGGAGCCTCTTTCCTCCCGTCCCCTCTCTTGCTTTGTCCTCCTCCTGCACCTGCCTGCAAGGAGGAGGCCGCCACTGTCTAGCTGTGTGCAGGCAAGCCAGCTCAGGACAAGGTCAGGGGCAGGTTTGGAGAGGGAGGAGGAGGGAGGAGAAAGAGGAAGAGAAAGAAGAGAAGGAGGGAGGAGAGGAGGGAGAAAGTGACCATATTGTTTCCATGGCCTAGGATAACAAGGGAGGCGTTCTAGATAAAAAGATAATTATCTGCTGTTTTTGTCTTTTCCAGCTTCCAGGAATTTCTGCCACAGTTTTTTTTTTTTTTTGGAGAGAACTCACAGCTGCATTTTGTAACAGAATCTTTAAGGGACCCCCAGGCCCCAGGCAACTTCCCCTGACATTTCTACTCCTTGACCTCACCTCCTGGCATCTTTCCTATTTCTCAGCCCTGCCAGGTACACTCCGTCCCAGGACCTTTGCACAGCTTGTGCCCTCTCCCCAGAATGACCCCCTTGCCCCTTCAGTCCCCCTCAGGCTTCTGCTTCTGTGACCTCCACAGAGAGGCTCTCCGGACCACCTCATTGAACATGGTCACCCACCCCCACACACACTCACTCTCTGATCCCTCGTCGTGGTTGCTCTTCTCTTCAGTGACCTATTAATAGTGTGTATCTGCTCCTTGATTAGCAGTCTCCTCACTCTCAAATGGGTTCTGTTCCTGTTTCGTCCTCAGGGCCCAGAACAGGGGCAGGAACTCGGTGCCTATTGTTGAGAGCATTGAATCTCGAACACCTCGGCTACTTTGGAGGGGACCAATCACCAGGACTGGGCTGGGGACACAGAAGTGATGCTCTGAGGCTGCTGGGAGCTGACCGAGGACACTGAGGCACACCGCACCTCCCTCGTGGCAGGGGACAAAGGTTGTCTGGGATAGTCAGCAGGTGGCCCCGGCCAGGAGGGCTCTTTTCCCCAAGGCTTTCTCAGCCCATCCTCCCGGTGCCTGCAGGGCAGGTACTGTCACTCCCCGTACCTCCTCTAGGTGGTGGTCCCCTGGACAGGGTGATGCGCAGTTCCAGACAGGAAGCTGTGCCAGGTGGATTCCCACCAATTAGGGGCCACTCACTGATTCCTCTCTGTGAACCTCAGTTTCCTGGTCTATAAATGGGGATAGTCATTCCCCTCGTGGCTTGGGGGAAGATGTACTAGCCCAGAGGTCGGCAAACCATGGCTCTAGAGCCACATGCAGTTCTTTGGCCCCTTGAGTGTGGCTCTTCCACAAAATAACCGCAGCTTGGGCGAGTCTATTTTGAAGAAGTGGCATCAGGAGACATTTAAGTTTAAAAAATTTGGCTCTCAAAAGAAATTTCATTGATTGTACTGTTGGTATTTGTCTCTGTTGACTAATGAGTTTGCTGACCACTCTACTAGCCCATGAGTATTAACAACCTCTGCCGATCTCTGTAATTGCAGAGTGTGGTATAATATAAACACATATTGACTCTCGTGCAGGGGAGGTCTGAGGCAGCATCCCTTCTGCCCAGAGAGACCAGCCTAACGCAGAGGCCACCGGGGCAGCCCACCCTGGCCTTCTCTGCCCATCTCTGCAGCCAGTCAGATGTTGCTTCTGACAGTCTACCCGGGAAATGAGTTGTCTCACTAGGGCTCTTTAAGAAGGCAGGTTTGGAATGGCTATCAACAACAAATCAACAAACGACAAATGCTGGCGAGGATGCGGAGAAAAAGGAACCCTCTGCACTGCTGGTGGGAATGCAGACAGGTGTAGCCACTTTGGAAGACGGTATGGAGTTTCCTCAAAAAATTAAAAAGGAACTCCCATTTGACCCAGTAATCCCACTTCTAGGACTATATCCCAAGAAATAAGAAACAGGAATCACAAAGGATATATGCACCCCTTTGTTCATTGCAGCACAATTTACCATAGCTAAGATTTGGAAACAACCTAAGTGCTCATCAGCAGATGAGTGGATTAAAAAACGGTGGTACATCTACACAATGGAATACTACATAGCCGTAGAAAAAGAAAGAACTCTTACCATTTGCAACAGCATGGATGGAACTGGAGAGCATTATGCTAAGCAAAAGGAGCCAGTCAAAGAAAGATAAATATCATATGATCTCACTCATTTGTGGAATATAGTGAACAACATAAACCGATGAACAAAAATAGATAACAGAGACATAGAAGTATCAAACAGACCATCAAACCTCAGAGGGAAGGTGGTGGTGGGGGGGCAGTAAGAGATCAACCAAAGGACTTGTACCCATATATGTTAGCATAACCGATGAGCTCAGAGAGGAGGGGGTGAGGACATGTGCTGGGGGGTGAGAGTGGTTAGGGAGAAGTCAATGGGGGGAAAGGGAGACATATGTAATACTTTAAATAATAAAGAATAAATTAAAAAAATAAAAAGGCAGATTTGGATAAGCAGCGACACCCTGTACTTGGAGGTACCAAGTCTGCTCCCTTGCTGAAGGCAGAGCCTGGGGGATGGTGTCTTGGTGGGGAGGGGTGGCTTCGTGAGGAGAGTTTGCCATCACTGGGTGTTTT